CTTTGGGAGAAAACTCTGAAGAAATCAGGAAAGTTGACACATAAACAGGAAGGCTTAGGGAGTTGACAATGTCAATTCTGGAGAGGACATGAGACCAGGCTGTAGGTGAAGGGGTGAACTGCCTTCCCAGGAAGTAAATATGAGCTGTCCGGCTAGAGAGAGCCAGGGACTGGGGAATTCCCTAATGTGGGCCAGACTTAGAGTAGGTAAATGATCACTTCTGATGGAAAGGGTAATGGGAAGCCTCTCCACCAACCATAAACATCTCCTCTACTTGCTTGGCATGAAGTCTACAATTCTGCTATTGGATATCTACATATTTAAGGATTGTTGGAGCTGAAAAGGACCTCAGAGCCCATCCAGTTCAACCCTATTCGGTATACAGATGAGGAAACTGAGGCTCAGAGGAAGTAAAAAGGTACCTTGCTCAGTCATAGCTATTTAGCAGCAGAGATAGGACTAGAGAGAACTAGGGTTTTTCCGACTCTTAATCAAAAGTTCTTTCCATGACAGTATTCAAGTCTTTGGGCTAAGCATTTCCCTCCTACTTGTCCATTTTTAAACTATAAATGCTATTGAGAAGAACAGCACAATAAGCCCCTAACACTTTAGTGTGAATGAGTTTATCAGATCAATTTCCTCCTTGAAAGGAAAGGCTTGATAAAGCCAAAGAAGACTGCCCAAATTCAGGTGGGATGAAGAAGGGTGAGGGAGCACCGAAGAGCAAAAATGACACAAAGAGCGGGAGAGAATGATAGAGAAGACAGTGAGGCCAGGGGTGGCTTAGTCCCCCTACTCTCTCAGAGGTGGACCTCACATGGCCTTTTAACCTCTCCATGTCTTCCTTTCCTAAACAGAGTGTTTAAAGTCACTTGGGTCAATCATATATGCAATGGCCCAGCTGCCTTTTTCCCCCTGTGGCATTTATTTTCTCTAGGCCTCACAATGACTCTTCATTGCCTTTTATAAGGAAAACCTCAACTTCTAGGACAGATATTATCCCAGGAAGCCAGGCCTTATCCAATTACCTTCCGTTTGGCCCCACCCCTTCAGTCCTAGCCAGGCAAGCTGCCTTAGTGTATGACCCCCTCCTACTTCCAAGTCTTCCCATGGCCAGCCTCCAAGCCTGGGGCAGCCTCTCAATTCCCACTGCCCAAACCACATCCTCCTTCCTCATCTCCACACCCTTAGAATGCAATCCCCAGCTCACCTCTTGATAAAGCATTTCCAAACTAAGTAGAATGTGGACCAATGACAGAGAAAGAGAAAGAGTGGGAGGAAGGGAGGGAGGGAGAGAGAGAGAGAGAGAGAGAGAAGATATGAGAAAATTAAAGAATGAGAGGAGAGAAAGGAGAGACAATGAGAAAGAATATGAGAAGATAAGAGAATAGAAAGAGAGGAGAGACAATGAGACAGAGAATGAGGAGAGAGGGAGAGGGAGAGAGAGAGGGAGAGAGGGAGGGAGGGAGGGAGGGAGAGAGAGAGAGAGAGAGAGAGAGGAGAGAGAGGAGAGAGAGAGAGAGAGAGAGAGAGAGAGAGAGAGGGAGAGGGAGAGAGAGAGGGAGAGAGAAAGGGAGGGAGAGAGAGAGGGAGGGAGGGAGAGAGAGAGAGAAGGAGAGAGAGAGAGAGGGAGGAGAGAGAGAGGAGAGAGAGAGAGGGAGAGGGGAGAGAGAGAGAGAGAGAGAGAGAGAGAGAGAGAGAGAGAGAGAGAGAGAGAGAGAGAGAGAGAGAGAGAGAGAGAGAGAGAGAGGGGAGAGAGAGAGAGGGAGAGGGAGAGAGAGAGAGAATGAGAATGTTTGTCTAATGAATGCCCACAACAATAGGGAAGGACAATTAGTCAGCATATGAACTGTTTACTCTTCTATTCCCAAAGCTAATTGGTCTAAGCATTCACTTCTGCCTTGATTAAGGTCATAGGTTGGTGCCAGGGTGTTTGTGTTTCTGGAAGTATATTTGAATTTCACAAGTCTTGCACTTCACACTGGGGAGCTAGGCTCAGCAAATACATCTTCATCACCTGGGAAGCCTTCCCTGACTGACTCAATCCTGCATTGATTTCTTCCTTTACTGAATTACTTACTATAACACTTCAGGTTTTTAACAGCTTGGCCTAGCCAAGAAGCAGGACTTAATAAGTAAATTCTTATTTGAGACCAATTGAGGGGCCTTTGAGCAAAGGTGAAAGGACCAAAGTGAGAAAGGCCAGCTTCTGAGTTAGAGGGGTATGGGGTGGTGAGGGTCACCAACTTTGAGACCCAGATTCCTTACTGCACAAAAGGTTCCTCCTGGGCTGTGCAGCTCTCCAGGGAGCCTTCTGCCTTCACTCCTTGGCTATAGCCCCATTACTCTCCTTCCAGCTTTCTTCATAATTCCCTCGCCTTGCCTTGTATTTGAAAAGCAGGAAATCTCACTGGATTCTTACAACAACCTACTGAGAAGCATTCCACTGGACTGACATAGAGCTGCCCCATGCCCCCCATTCTGCCCAGTGCTGATACAGAGCTGCCACTAACTGGCTGTTTAATCAATCAACAAGCATCTACTGAGTGCTTACTGTGTGCCTGCCAAGCACTTTGCAAGGATAAAAAGATGAAAGTGACACAGTCCCTACCCTCAAGAAGCTCTGTATGAGGGAGTCAACATTTCTACTGTAAGCATGTGCACAAAATATTCAAAACGAATAAATGGTAACATGGAGGGGGACACCAACTATCTGAAAGTCGGGAAGGGTGGTACTTCAGCAGAATCTGGGAGGAAACCAGAGATTCTAAGAGGTAGGGGGGAGGAGAGAATATATTCCAGGCATGGGGCACAACCAGTGAAAGGCACAGAGATGGGAGTGAGGTGGTGTGTGTGTGAATAATAGTAAACAGAGAAGCAGCTTAGATGGCTCAGTGGATAAAGCAGTGGGCCTGCAGTCAGGAAGACCTGAATTCAAATCTGCCCTCAGACACTTACTAGCTGTGTGAGCCTGGGCAAGTCACTTAACCCTGTTTGCCTTAAACCACTGAAGAAGGAAATGGCAAACCACTCCAGTATCTTTGCTAAGAAAACTCCATAGACATTATGGTCTACGGGGTCACAAAAGAGTTGGACATGACTGAACAACCACCCACCCACAGGAAGGAGAAACCTCAATTAACCTTCCTATGGCTCAGTTTCTTCATCTGTAAAACATGGGAGTTGGTTTAGATGACATTCCAGCTGTGAATCTATAACCTTATATATCCAAATGCTAAATTCAGAGAAGGGAAAAATAAATCTATATATTTGGAGAAATCAGCAAAGCCTCCTTACAGTGTGGTGCCTAACCTGGGTCTTGAAGATCAGGAGAGATTTAGATACAGAGAAAGAAGGAAAGATGACTTTCCAGAGATGAGATCACTTAGCCTAGCTTGATGATAATGAAGTGGTCTGAGAGAGGAGGATGGTGATGGAGGGGGCAGGGAAAATATATTTTGAACATTTGTGTGGTGGTGGTGGGGGCTCTGGTTTTTTGAAGTTATTGATGACAAATCTTGTCCTTTCCCTGCCTTCTCTTAAATATGCCAAGATGTTCCCACCTCTCTTCCCTCCTTCACCCACACCTACAGCCCCCATTGTATTGTAGGAAGGTGCCTAGGGCTTGGAATATTTTTGTACTGGGAGCATAATCTCTAGGCTCTTCCAAGATGGGCCTGCTATTATACTGTCATGGCTGTTCCTTAGCTGTATCCCTGGGTCTTTTTATATTGAGGATTAAAAACATACATATAGTTGTGTATATAAATAGTGCACGTCCTATTCCAACAAGGTACAATTTTCTCTTCTTCACAGTCCACCTGACAGTTTGGAGAGATCTCTCTCTCACTTCTCCACCTCTTAATCTTTCCCCAGTCCCCACCCACCACCACCAAGGCTGTACTGCAAAAGGCAGTGGCCTCTTGAAGTTCAGACGTTAATTACCCAGTTAGAGTATTTTTCAAAATTACATGGTATGGCCCCGGGAGATAAGAGGAATGAGGAGGAGGAAGCCTGGGGTAGGGGGATAGGGGGAGGAGGAAGGGGAAAGCTAAATCTGCACTCACCCTACAGTGAAGGCTGGGGCTCTGTGGGTGGTGGGGAAAAAAGACACCCACAGAGGAACACCCCAACCTGCTGATGAGATCTCTGCCTTTCCCCATCTACCACCGGGAGGGGAGTGATGGGAAAGGAAATTCCTTACAAGGGCTCCTAGTCATTCCCCCAAGTCCCTGCATGTGAAAGGTGACAAAAGGGAGATATATTTTTCTTTTCTTTTTTTTTAATCTGAGAGGCTGGGACAAATCTGTCTCTTACCCTTCATGTCTGTTCTGCTTGTCTTCTTTCATTAAATATATTAGTTATTGATTTCTCAGTAGGCAATAGATAAAAAGAGGACACTTAAAAATTTTTTTTGAAGAAAACAAACCACCCATTGCAATTAAGGGACTGATGGAGTCTGGGAGGATCTGTTGTGGTGTTTGTGTTACTGTAGTTCAGGAGAGAGAGAGAGAGAGAGAGAGAGAGAGAGAGAGAGAGAGAGAGAGAGAGAGAGAGAGAGAGAGAGAGAGAGAGAGAATATGAATTTGTCTGGTAACAGTGCTGTTTTACTTTTGAACAGCTTAGTTTTGAAAAAACACATATGTTGAAGCATTGTTTCCTTAACATGGAACACCCCATATTTATTATATTTCTTCTTCTCTGTTGCTGTTACTCTCTCTGTCTCAGTCTCTTGTCCCTCCATCTCCATTTCTCATATTTTTACCCATAATGTGATATATTTCAAAGCATGAGGCTTTTTGCCTGGTCACTGAGAAAGCTAGAGATGTTATGAAACCTCTTTAAATAATGTTTGGAAACTTCAAGTTTTCTGTTTAAATGTTATTTAAAAACAGACTGCTCTGAAACAAATACTAGCCCTTTTAGAAAACAGTTTCTGGCATAATGAGTGGATATTTTTGTAACTTCCAGTTTTTTCTTTCTTTTTTTTTTTTTATCAGAAGCAAGTTAGTATCTCAATCCTGTGTTAGAACAGTTGCTAAGAGGACCATTTGTTGGAAATATCAGTTTGCAACAGATCCAGATAAGGAAATTGAAAAGTTAAGGTGGGTGTGTGTGTGTGGGGAGATTTCAGTTCTCTTCCTGAAAAGGTACATTCACAGGGAAATGTCTCATTGGATAAAAAAAAAGTTAGAGGTTTCATATAGACCAGTAGCATTACAGCAAAGTATGTGTAACTTCTTTCTTTTGGCTTCTGCTACATGGAAAAAGAAAGAAGTCTGAAGGTCTACACATCAGTAGGCTATGAAAGAAGATAGCACTAGGAATGATTTTTAAGTTGAAAAGCCCACAACACAAACTGCAAGAAAACACGAAGGCTTTTGATGCTAAGCTAGACTGAAGCCCTAGAAACAGGAACAAGCCTCAGAAAGGACTTTAGATTCTTATCAGAAATAGGATAAATTTGCAAAGGAAATTCTAGTTGAAGTCTCTGCATAAGATTAAGATTGGAATAATAGTGAAGGATTCATAAGAACTTTTCATCTTAGATTTTTTTTTTGGGGGGGGAAGGGGAAGAAACTTCCTCCATAGGACTATTACATCACATAGTGTTTAAGCTTACCTGTTTTAATGAATGTTTTTATATATATACACACATATATATGTATATATATGTATATGTATGCATGTATGTATATGTATATGTGTGTATGTATGTATATTTGTATATCTAAGAGAGAAAGAACTGTAGAAAAGCATGCTAATCACTCTGTTAACTCTGCCTATTGTTACATTGGTCAGTGACTGAAGCACCTTCCTCTAGCTACAGGAAATCAGAATCAAGCTTAGCAGATAAAGTTCAGTACTAGACTAGACCTGAATTCATGCTTCATTATCATTTGCTTCCTTATGCTAGTATATGCTGTGTCCATGCATCCTGGAGCAGTGTAAGCCATGAATCTGTACCAGCACAGACATCCCGGAGAACTCGCCACACGCCATGACGGTGACGTGAAGAGAAGTAACTCAATCCCAACATTTCTGTACTTCCCGTTGTCTACCTCTCTCTCTCTACAGGACCTCCTCCACTTTTCACCACAATGCCCACTGACTCACTGAATGCTCCAGAACTGCAGAGCTTTCTCACTACCAAGGCTACATTCATCAAACCTCTGGTATACTACCAGCTTCTCTAGTTCTTGGCACTCCTAAATACCGTGGTGGAAATGTTGGCACAATCAACTGACAAGGGGAGACTTGTCAGCTGCTCCTACATCAGTGACAGCTGTGGTGGGAACTATACTGTGAATGGAAGCACCTGTGCTCCTCTCTACCTTCTGGCCTCCACACACTTCCCAAATCTCTTGATTCCCAGGGCTTAAAGACTGGTTGGTTAAGACCAGAGATTTTAAATGCTCTGGCCACTCCTGAGTGCAGCCCAAACCAGACTAAAATGGAATTGGGAAATACTTAACAAAATAATAAAATACAATTGAACATAGATAATGTTAATATGTGGTTTTCTAAGTCAATATGTGGCCATCAGGGATCCTTAGGTACCATTTAGTGGCCACCATTCCTATCCAAGAGCATTTTGAGATGAACCTAGGAAGAGGAAGAGAAGAACATTTATAAATCACTTTAGGGTCTTCTAGAGCACTTTCTCAAAACAAACCTGTGAGGTAGGTAGTTCAAAAAGTGTTATTACTACCCTTTTACAGATGAGGAAAACTGAGGCTCAAGGATATTAAATAACTTGCACAAAGTCATACAACTAATAAGTAGCAGAGCCTAGACTCTGGCCCTGGACTTCAAGTCCAGGGCTCCAAGTATAGTGTGCTTTCTACTAAACCAAAGCTAGAAGCAGATGGGAAAATGGAAGAGATCTGTCAGCATTTTATACTGAATAGTGATCTATTCTCATCATCATCGCCAGCAATATACCTTCGTTTGGCCTCTAACATTTCATCATTAGATGGAAAGGGTCCCAAGTGGGCTTCTGCAGTTGACTGACACAGCAGACCACATTTCAATTACATAGATAGATGACTGAAAGGTGTAAAGGAGAAAAGATCCAATGTTCCATTTGGAATTTTAAGAAAAGCATCTGATATAGTGAAGTATGACTGATGCCACTTTAAATGCTCTTTTCTAGCAAGGTGTCTCCCATGCATATGTTAAACCATACAAGATTCCCCAAGAGATGAAACCAGTGAGATCACTTTGGTGGTGCTTTGATCAATACCAAGGAGGTCATCGAACAAACAAAAGCAAGCTGTATGCTCATCAAAAGTGTTATCTACCATTATGAAGGAGAACCTGTGCAGAGTCCAAATGGAAGAGGGATTCTTGATATATAGTTTAATCTCCTAGATGTTTGGTGATGACACTATGCTTTTTGCATCAAAAAAATGCAAAAGAAAAATCTTCAGAGTCTCCTCAGTGCCATCTAGGAGAACTCCAAAGAGATAATTTTAAACCATCCAATTAAATGATGCAATTAAATTCAGTCAACATTCATTAAATACCTATTCTTTACAAGGTACCATGGTAGGTGCTAGGGATACAAAAACAAGAACAAAACAATTTCTGCCCTTGAGGAGTTTGTACTCTAATGGAAGACATAATGTGTACATAAATAAATACAAGGTAACTCCTGGAAATGAGCGAACACTAACTGGGAAGTACATTCCAGGGATAGGGGCAAGTGTCTACAAAGGCACAGTGGGGGGTTGTAAGAATTTGAGGTGGAGATGAAATGCTAAGCACAGGAAAGGCTGAGTAGAAGAAGACTCCCAATTGCCAAGCCCACGACATGAAGCTGGCTAGGTACTGGCTTAGTACATTAGCACATGTATCTTGAAGGGGTACTGCAGAGAGATAATAAGTGAACCCAAATTTGAAAAGTAGGAAGCAGGAAGCCAGGCTGGATTACATTTGGGAAATTATGTGGAGCTTTGAACTATTACAAGTCTCTCTCTGACACAAAAATCCATCTCTTTAATACCAATACTCTCAATGATACTCTACAGCAGGAAAGCCTAGATTTTTAAAAATGTTTTTAATTTATGGAATAGAACAAGTATTTCAGCATTCAAAAGGACCCAGACTGTGGGTGATCTAAAGTTCCAATGCAGAGACGTATAGTGGATACAAGCACGCTGAAAGATGCTGTCGATGCTGACTTGTGTGTAAGATGAAACAAGGGAATGACATCAAGGACATGGGATTAGGAAAGGAGGTTGGGTGGTCCATAGAGTGAATGAAGGAAAACAGATGAGCAGTCCGGCTATTTCACCGGTAGGCACAACATGCTAAAAGATCAAAAGGAAGGCCTGAAGCACACTGGATAGATCCTCTATGGAAAAATTTATGGCAGGACATTGGCAAGAATCAAGTGGGATGAGACAGCATGAGATGGGCTGCGATCTACATCACTGGAGTACCCACTTTGAGGATACTCTGACTCCAAGCAGATACTGAAAAAGCCAATTAGATGCTACTAATTACAGATGAGGCTTAGCTTAATAGAACAGGACCCACAGGACCTCTATTTGGAAATAATTAGTAGTTATTGGATTACCAAATATACTTGAAAAAATAATAAACTCATTTCTTTAAAACAAAATTCCATAACTCAGAACTTCCCTTAATTTGGCCTGGTCTTAGTCTGAATTGGTCCAGATCTGTAAGGGTACATAGCATATTTCTTTTAGTTTGGTGGTGGTGGTGATTCACTGATTGATCATCACTTATAAAGTGTTCCCTATTTGGGTGGGGTGGGGGAGGGAAGTGTATAAAGACCTGGATTTTGTTTCCTGGGAGTCAAATGTTCTGTGTTGATGCAAGCTTTGCTAACAATCAAGAAAAAGACTGGAAGGAAGAGGAAATGAAGGCATAGCATCATCATTACTACTCTGAAAATATCCCTTGACTTAAAGGTGAGAGAAAAGGTAACTATTTCATTTTTCCAATGATTTTTCAAACAACAGCATTTTAACTGTGCTGTTTTGGGGTCCATAATGAGACACTTGTTTTTGACATTAATTAGCCCCATAATTCTAACGTACATTTGGTGTGTGCATCTTATTGGAGTCTAAACCCCTTTATAGCAGAGACTGGACCGAAGGTCTTTGCCCACAGTGAAGACTCAATTTGGGTGTGCAATGAGTGTGACTGTAATGAGCAGGGTGTAAAATGAGCAGTTAGTGTCTTGCGTCTCTTTATTACCAATCAGCCCACTCTTAAGTTTTGATTCTACTTGGTTGAGCCCTCTGCCCTCACTCTCCCCCAATACATGAGAGATGACAAATTTGTTTAAATGGCTAGTTTCTGGTCTGGAAGAAAAGGAATAGGTCTTCTTCCTCCATGCCTTAATGACTATAAGAGCCTCCTAGCTAGCTCCCCTGCCATCAGTCTCTTCTCAGATCCATGCTGTATATTACTGCCAGGCTAATCTTCCAAAGTACCACTTTCACTGTGGGCACTGCCATTTTCAGAAACCTTAGTAGCACATGCTCTGGAGAGACTCTCCCAGCTCTCACTGGAAGGCTGCATCCCTGGAGGGCAGCCGATACATCTCCCTTCAGGATACTGGAGTAGCCCTGAGTTGGGGAGTGTGTGAGTCCCCATGGGTATGTTTCCTCTCATGATAATTGGTTGACATCAATTAGTTAGCTAGACTTAATTAACTTTTTGAAATGGTTATTTACCATGGTGGCCCACAAGACAATACCCCCAAATCTGTGACATTCTCTCACAGATACATAGAGAGTCCGGAGGAAAGTAGCCTCAGGTTTCAGGGATATGTGGCAAGGGAGGAAACCTATAGCTTCTAGAAGTCCTTTTGCTAGAGACTTCCAGATGTTTCCCTTAGGTACAGTGTAGTCTTCCTGCTGGGGTCCTTGTACAGCCTCTATTCTTCCCTTCCTCATTTTGTCTAGGCTGTCCTTGGTTCCTGATGTAGACACTGCTATTAGCTGCTCAAAGGATGCTGCGTGGATGAAATGTCCAGATTCTCCAACCCTCCAGTTCAAGGGGGTGAGGGAGGGAGGAGACCAGTGTTAAGGCCAGGGTTCTTCTCCTTCCTACTTCACACCCCAAGCACCTCCTTCTTAGGGGTTTGGTTCTCTCTTCTTTCTGCTTTTGTTGTTCAGTTTCAGTCTGCCTGACTCTTTGTGACCCCGTTTGGGGTTTTCTTGGCAAAGATACTGGAGTGGTTTGCCATTTCCTTCTCCAGCTCATTTTGCAGTTGAGGAAACTGAGGCAAACAGGGTTAAGTGACTTGCCCGGGGTCACACATGTAGTAGGATTTGAACTCAGGAAGATGTGTCACCTAGCTATCCATTGCACTCCCTAGCCACCCTTCTTCTTTCTGCTTCCAGACACCCAAAGCCCTCATTCCAAATTTGCTCACTGGTTTTACACAAGCCCCACAGAACAGGGCCAAGATACCTAAACAATCCCCCAAACTTCCTGGTTGACTGATGTCCAGCCCACGTTCACATATAGTCCAGCCTCTGATGATTATTCTCATCTGACAAAAGTAATAGGATGTAGCATTTTGTCATTTGAAGTGGAATGGGGGTGATTTGATTTATCCTATCATCATTCCACTCTTTCACTTTCATTGGCTTCCCACTTCTTATTGTATCAAATTGAAATTCCTCTTCCTAGGTTTGAAGGCCCTATGTAATTTTATCCCGATCAATCTCCCCCCTTCTGCTCTAGTTAGGCCACTCTTCTTGATATCCCATAGAGGAACCACAGTCGTCTCCTCCTTTGTACCTGTACTTAGATTGTTTCTCTCTCCTGAAATGTCCTCCTCTCTCTTTTTCCACTCTCCCTATTCTAGCCCATCCTCCAAGGCCTGACGCAGCATCTCATCTCCTCCATGAAGCATTTACTGACTATCTCAGCCTACGCTGAGCTTTCTTTTCTCTAGCTTCCCTTAAATCCTGATAGTCTACCACGCTACCTAGATGTTTAATTCTCAGGCATTGTTCCCTATCATTCCTGAGTCTCCTCTAGTATCCCTAATTAGACTGCAAGCTCTTTGGAAGCAGGGACTCCATCTTGAGCTTCTTTATTTATCTTCCAGCTGCATAATGATATTTTTCAGCAACATAATAACAGTAAACTTCTTTTCAAATACAATAATCCTATCCTTGGTGATGTTTGCTCGACTGTAAGGGGGATAGAAAGAAGTAACCTTGGTCCCTCTCCTGAGGGAGCTTAAGTCTTAGAGAGACAAGGCATAACGGTGATACATGATAATAAAAAGTTAAAACAGAAATCAAATTAAATAAAAGGTTCAAAACAACACTAGTTATTGCCAATTACTTAGTGCTTTAAAGTTTGCAAAGTTCTTTACATATGTCATATTTCAGCTGACAGCAACCCTGTGCGGTAGGTAGCATAGCTATTATTATTCCCATACAAAGAGATGATTAAATGAC